TGTATCCTTTCTCCTCCATCTTATTTCTCAGCTCTGTTCAGAAAATTGTTAAGAGTTGTGTACAAGAAAGTGTGAAGTCGGGACAGAATTCAATACAGATGTATTTTTTCTTCTTGTGAGCATGTCTTTGAATTTAGCCTGCTGCTGTACATTGCCAAGTTTGTAATTAGCTCTGAGCTGAAGTATGTGCCCTGGAGCCAGGATGCACACTTCCAGTGCACCGTGCCACAGGGATTCATGGGTCAAAGGGTTTATTTCAGTGACAAGTGACATCAGCATGCACATCACCAGAACCACTCCTCTTCCCTCTTCCTTAGTGCAGAAAGATGGGCTGCTCTCTGTGTGTCATCTTTATATTTAGGATTGACTCCACACACCATGGCTACAGGGGGTGGCAACTCAATCTACTGACTTTCATTTCTATCTTGCCAGTTTGAATTAGTACCAGGCTGGTGATGGCTCAGAGTTTATCATTTGTGTAGTAGTTTGAGGCCTCTTTGCATGGCTTTTTGTCCTGTGGACCACTTCTTCCATAGCAAAAAAGGCCTCATCACTGTTCCTAACCATCTTGGGCCATGAGTCAGTGGCATATGCATGAAAAATAAAATGTATTTTTCATTTCCAAATGCATCCTTCTGCATCATACCATGACTGTTACAAAAGAAGCATGCATTCCAATTAGCTGTCTTTGTTTGGGATTTTTGCTTCATTTTGCCAGTACTTTTTATGGATGCATAGTTGTCATGACGCAGAGTCTGTCGCAAGCACCAAGGGCTTAAAAGTATATGCAGAGACTGCTTGTAGGAAGTCTAGTGTTCCTGAAAATGTGACTGGCTTGATTTACACTACCTTCACTTTGTGGGTTTTACTTCATTAGCTGCAAGGATTCAGCTTAAAAGGAAGTGACACAACAAGAGCTACTTGGGTAGCTTACAGATTTCAGAATAGCTGTTTTAAGATAGTTTTTCCTTCTGAAGAAACATACCTTTAATTGGAAAGCATGCATGTACATTGTTAATGTAGATTCCCTTTCCCATAGTTCTATTTTGATGAATCATCTGCTCTCAGGCTCTGTATATCTACGTGAAAGCAGGTGGGAATCACCTTGCTTTTTGAAAATTCCTCTTATGTATTCACTGAGAATACGTCACAGGTATTTTAGAATGTTTCTCCTTCTCTCATCAAGCTATGAACAACAAAAATGATCTTGGATATTTTTCCCAAACCAGAAATGCTGGGTGTTTGGTTAATCCCATAGAATGTTATTCAACTTTAAGACTGGTCAGAAATTCAGCCAATTTTATCAGAATTGTTTGTTTCAGAAAATGAAAATAAGCTGAAGACATCAAAAATAGGAATATCTCAGTTGTTTAAATGGAACCACATGAATCAGTACAATCAGTACTGGCGAGTACCTAGCTTGTAAAGATCAGTTCTAAGGAAAAGCAGTTGTAGTTTTCATTCGAAAAGAAAAGGAATATTTGATTATTTCTTAGGTTTTTGGGACAAACCTGTCAAAACTGGATAAAAAATCCATTTTTCTAACTTTCATGTTGTTCTTATTTCCCAGACAAAAACCAGAATTATATTTCTAATACAAGACTGTACTTCTAATAACAAATGCATCATTCCCTGAAATAGTCTCAACAATCCACGTAGTGAGTCCCATGCTTTTGCTTCATGGAAATTCAATAAAAAATTAGTAAGGACAAATCTGTCGCTTTGGCCATAACACCTTCTAGATCCAGCACTATTTGTGTTGATCTATAAATGACAGATATGTGACCTTATGAGAGTAACCTGTGACCAATGAGAGGATGACATGACTTGGAGAGGCTGGCGGGTAGGGTGCCCGTGAGACACTAAGAGCACTTCTGCAACTTGGACCAGCATGGTCTGACATTACTGGCACATGTTTTAGTGGGAGAAGGAGAAGTTTAAAGGTGCAATACAGCAAAACCAGCAAGCATATGTCACCGTATTTGCATATCATTCCTAAAGCTTTAAAGACAAGGACTGACAAACCCAAATATAGTTTCCACTGGCAAGGCTGATGAAAGCAAGGGCAAGATTGCACAACGCTTATATAAGTGAACCCTTACTAACGCCAGTTCTTGAGTTAAATAAGACCTTGTCTACTGAAGAAATTAGGGAATTTTTGAGTCTTTTCAGTTGATTTGCCTTCCCTCCTCCAATTTATTTTTATTTTCTTCATAGAGAAAATCTAATTTCGTTTGTTCACTTGAATTTAAGATCATAAAATTCCTACCAAACTCCTGGTTGCCCTAACTTAGCTAAGTGTGTTGGAAGTATAATTAAACCTCAGCAAAGTTGAGGACATCTGTTCCTTGGGCACTCTGCCAGCTAAGTAACCACCATACACATTTTTCATTATCTGGGAAGCTTCTTTATCAGCTTTCTCCAGAAGGTGTCAAAAAGATATCTGTAAGTTGTTGCTAAATTGAAGTCACTTGCTATTTGATGACTGTTAACACTCTATACTTTCTTTTTCCCCCTAGAAAAAAAACCACAAATGGTGAGTGCAGGTAACTATTCTGAGGTCATCAGCAGCCCATGAAGATGGCTGATTACTCACATCTGAGTCTCTTTCACCTCCTGGTCAGAGCTGATGATAGTTATGTGTATCAGCATCCATTTCAGAAATCTTTTAGACTGTGTGCTTTTATAGGAAGAGAAGAGCGATCAATTCATGTTGAATTAGAGGAAGTGTATATCACTTACCAAAAAGGAAGACCCACAACCTCGTGGTAGTTCCAAGTAGTAAAAAAGTAATTGAAGCTTTATTACCAGATTATCAATTAGCAGAGAGCCTGAAAGAAAATCTTAATACCCGATCTTGGACTTCTCATGCTCTTGGAGTCAAAGCAACTGGCAACGTGGCTGCATTTCTCCTGCTCTTTCCTGAGCCCAGCATCCTCCTGTCTTGTGAGGCACTGAGCCTCAGCCATTCTCCAGGTTTCCCCCGAGCAACCTGATTTAAATCAGATCTGGAGGTTGGTGGCTCTGCCTGTGGTAGGGGGTTTGGAACTTGATGATCCTTGGGGTCGCTTTGCACCCAAGCCATTCTACAATTCTGTGATTTGTTGTGAAATACTGAAATGCATAAGTTGCAAGCATTCAATGGTCTGTTCTCAGTTTACTCATGTTGGTACAGCCTGTGTCTCTTATCAGCCCTACCCATACTAAGCAGAACGGAGCCCTGCAGAGACCTAACTTGAGATAGAACCTGTAAAATCTCCCTCAGAAGTAAATGCTGGCAAGTGCTGCCTTGTGTTTGTCCAACATGAGAAAGAGAAGAAAGAAGCTGAGTGCATAGGACTGCAGTTGCTGCTTGGCAAAACCTCACAATCATATATAGCAAAGTTACCCCATTGATCTAATAATAACTTGTTATTACACCATGGTTACCTTTTTTTTCTGAGATCCTGCCCGTGTGTTTTATGCAGATCAATCAAGTACTGCCATGTTTTTAGGCTCTAGCATCTCAATGTAGGTAGCTGTATAAAACTAAGACAGGTCCAGTTCTTTCCCAATGGCAGCGTTTTGGGCTGTTTCATCAGTTTGGTGTTTTGCTCTGTGCTTACCATTCTGCTGCAGTGCTAGTAACCACAGGGACCCATTTAGACTTCTGTGGTGGCTATTATTATTTTGTTATACCCCACAATGGAAAACAGTCCCAGCCTACATGCTCCAGCATGGTGTGGATGCTCCTATGGCTATGCATATTTTGTAGCACTTGACTCACTCATACTCAAAGATCTGTGTGTTCTGAGAAATGCTGTAAAAATAATTCCCTTGTCTTCTGGGGCTGCAATTTGTATTGTCTTCATGATCTAAACAAGGCTCTCTTTCTGTGTTTACTTTTTCCTTTTTTTTTTTCTTTTTTTTTTTTTCCCCTTGATTCCTCAGTTGGAGTGTGGTGGAAACATTCTCTGCAGTGAAGAATCCTGATTTGGCACTTTATGGCAGCTCTGCAAAATTCTGCTGCCATCTTTGTCTGGAAAAATGAGCTGTATTAAAAAAAAACAACCAACCAACCAAACAAACAAACAAAAAAAAACCCCAAAACCAAACCTTTTATTTTTTTCTAATCACTCCAATCAAGACAGATGATGAAATCAAAGGTGTAGCTCCCTGGCTGGTGTTTTTTTGCCGTGTAATGCAAAGCAACATTTGAAATTTCCTTTTACTCTCTGTTGGTTATAGCAAGTGCTTTTGGAAAGTCAAACTATTTTAAAAGTACTGCGCCTACCTGTTGAGAGAATAAAGTCATTGTGAACAAACTAATGAGTCCACACAGCTTGGAATTGTAGTCCCCCAGATTAGTCCATAATTTCTATGTGCATTAGTTAAGAAATGAGATAAACTCATTCCTAGTGTACAGGCAAAGAAGAAAATAAAAGGTCCTCTGCTGCTGCTTAGGGAAGATTCTTCCGTAGCTCACACAACAGTGATTTCAATAGCTGAAATAGCGTGTCTGAAAGACTTCAGTTCTAGTAAGCTGCTTTACAAAAGCACACTCCTTTTCTACTGCTTATCTCATGCTACTTAATTTCTTCCTGAACTAGGTACTCTTTCTGTAAAGTTATTTCTGTTGTGCCCAGGGAGTACAGTTAAAATATATGTATATTTAAAGTCATTAGGTTTCTCTACTGCAGTTTGTAGAAAGGAGGGGTTAGAGGAATGGTGATGCTGCGGAAAATATTGCCACTTTCATGGCTGTCTCATATTCTGAAAGAAAGAAAAAAACACACAAAACTACACACAACAGAAGTCGAGACCTTTAATTATAACCTAATCATCTTCATCAGAGCAATAAATATAACAAATGTGAGGCAAGAATGTGTGTGAGAGTGCAAGACAGAGAAAGGTTTAGGGCAAGGATCAGTGGAAAATCTTTAGAAATGATGTAAGAGAAAGCAAAGGCAGGGATTGGAGTTTGTAGCCTACAGCAGAGACTATAAAAACTCTGAAAGAAAGCTGAACATTAGGGATAAGTTAGGGAGAAGAACATTGCAGGACCATTAAGGTTGGGATTGCTTGTATCCAATGCAAGGTAAGATGAGTGAGGACAGAGAGGTTTGGGATATTTTCTGTGTCTCTGTGCTCTGTTTACTTCTCTAGTTTCTTGCTTTCTATGCTTTCCTCTTTTTACTTTTTCTCCTATTTTTTCACACTAACAGGCATGCACAAAGTACATACATGCCCATGTCAGATGGGAGAAGTGCAGCTTCTTTTTCCAGTTTGAGATTAGGGTAACAAGATGCCTATCACCTAGTATTTTTGGTACTAGAACGGAACTAATAATATCCTGTGGAAACTTATTTCTTTCAGTTAATCAGCCAATATTTAAACAAGATGTGTCTGCGTTTTACAACACCGACTAGTTGCTTTCATGCCTTTCGCAGTGCTTCTGCAGCAAACTGCTGTCTGGTTTTATTGTTATGGATTTGCTTGTGTATGTTATTGTCAAATACATATTAATTCTTAAAATATACTGAAAAGCCATGACAGAATAATTCCTTTGCATTAGTGTATGTCATACACAGTAGATAAGTTAGCAGCGTGCAGTATGTTGCAAAATACAATGTATACCATTGATTTAGGGAAATATTTTTTCTTTAATTTATGAATCTGCCAAAAGGTTTTTGTTATGTCCCCTATGAGATAAATGAGCCAGATTCTGCCACATTTCTGCAGTAACAGAATAATCCTGCAAAAACATTCCTACACTGACAGAGTAGTTATCATTATCCAGTGATCTGATTACTTCAGCTTCGTACCACTGTAAGTGAAGTCAGACTCTGATTCAGTGATAGTCATTGTAATTTCTCCATTCTGGGTTCAAAACTATTTCACCACTTCTTTTTGCCTCCCAGACTGGAGTCATGCAAGTAAATACATGTGCATAATCTTTGGTTTAGATGTCCAGAGGCTACTGTGAAGTTCAGATCCCACTAATTTTTGAAGCACAAACACACGCTGCCTTCAGCTTTCCTTACTTGGCTTTTCAGTCTGGAGTGACTGTCCTCATGGGGAGTGCAGAGCTGAAAGCTGAGCAACTGTGAGGATGTTTTGTGCCCCTGCCCATTGATTCACTTAGGAAGCCAGGGACAGATGATTATGCTTACCTGTCTCTGCTCACCTGTATCCAAATTGCAGCTTGGCTTACTTTCCTTGTAAAACACTTCAAGCATCCTGAGGAGTAGAAGGCAAGCAAACAAACAAAACAACAGTGTAAATGATGGGAAAGCTGCAAAACCAGGTATTCTTTAGTATTTATGAATACCTACCATGCTGCTTTCAGCAGGCTTGGGCTTGGTTTTCACTTTTCAAATGAATGACAGGAGTATCTCTCTGGGCTTTTTAAGGTGTACATTTAAAAATTTGAACCAGATGAGAGTTGTAAGAACTCTCTTGATGGACCCTGCCAAAATTGCAAGTGGTTGCAGCTTCCCTTTTCTTGTTGGTCAACCCAAAGAAACAGATTAATCTCTAATTTCCCTTTGCAATTCATCTTCATCAAGTAATTGAATTTTCTTCTTCTTACGTGAATACCCTTGATCAGAACATTTAAAAGCTTTTATCCAGTAAATCAGTGTCAGGGTTTGATTCTCTTGTTAGCAAATTCCAATGCCATTCTTGTCTCTTAAGACATTATCTCAAAGGCACATCTTGAAGGTTATTTTTACTGGCCTTGAAGTGGCCTATGTCTTTGTATTGGTAATATATTCTGATAATATGCTCTTCATACCAGGTATAAAAATCCATTTATGACTCCAATGCCGTTAGGGAAAAAAAATGCTTTTTCCAAAAGTAGAAAAACAACAATATATTTCTCAATTTTTATTGATACAGTACTTATTTTTATTTTAATTGCTGATAATGGCACTCCAACAACAAAGTTTTTAGTTCTCATGCTAAAGATGAAGGAAGAAAACTAAATGTGAAGTTTCTGGAAACATTAGGAAGAGTTGGTGAGTTCAGTCAGTAAATATATAAATGATTTAGGGCTGAGAGTTTGTTGGCAATGAAGAATAATCTAATAATGTTTTGTTTTCCATTGTGCATACCAAGAATACTCACTCAACCATCTCACTTAGGAAAGGTGGAAATAGACTCTTCTCATTAACAGATGTTTTCTTATAATTCAAGTGTCCTTCTTATCTGATAGTCTCTGGGCTCCTAGATGTGTTCTGTCACTCTAATTGTGCCTACTGCTTCCTGGTCTCCTACTTTTATGGTCTTGAAATGAGCTGGGAGGTTTTTAATTGCTAAAATGCGCTGCTAGAAATGGAAATGTAGTCAGTTTTGTAAGATGTCCAACTTGTCTCCTTCCCACCCATTCCAAGGAAATTTGTCCCTGTTTGTTCCATTGGGTTTCATTCTCTTTCTACAAACAAGGAGGTGAGGACCACAACTGACTTTTTCCACTAGTGTTTTTCCACCTGTGTCAGTTAAATTTATCCTGACAGGGCAGTATTCATTTTGCGGCACAAGCATTTGTTCACTTTCCATACTCTGTGTGGAAACCAAGGTGCCACATCTTCAGCCTTTCTTCTTCTGAGTGGTGTGATTCATGTGCTGTCCCATACACTGAGCCTGCTGTGGGCAGGGACCCAACCACCTCAGAAACTGTAAAGGTGACAGAAACAGCTGTTTATGTGAGCATCCACCAACAGCATCTGCTTCTCCCAGAAGAACAACTGTCAGTAAGTGCATCTGCATTTTTGATGGAAACTTCAGTAGAATGAAGGCTGGGATAACTTGTGATGGTATGAAAACTCTGGTAGTTCGGGCCCAACACTGAAAATTGTATCATTAAGATGGAAATAATTGTTAAAACGAAGGTTTTGAAAAATAATGACTGATCCCAAATGCCTTCTTGAGAAATCTTTATAGAATTTCATTTTCAGAAAGTGGAGCATTCTTGTCCCCAAAATATTGTCAGACCAAATGTTTTGTTTGGGGCACAGGTTATACCCAAATAGCTTCTAAGAATCACTGGTCTTAAACCTCTTGCACAAGTTCAGGAATTTTACATTCTCTGTGTTTGCATCAGATGAAATCTGCCTGCAACTATTTATCTACGTAGTTGGGAAACTGAGAATAGAGGGGGATTGACATTGTAGAATTTGACAAGTGTCTGTGCTATATATCTAATAAATTGTATAGAATTGCTTAGAAATCTAAACCTACTCCAGGAAACACATTACTAATAACATGCCTGCATTTCATTATGTGACAAAGTCCCATGTCCCTTGCCTCAGTGTCTTGCTTCAGTATCTTTTTAGAAAGCAGTATGTAAGAAGTGCTCTGTATCTCATCTGTGGGATGAGAACAAAAACAACACTCTAACCTATCTTTGGACTCTGCTATTTTTCTGAGGGTAGGATATATTTTGATTTTTCTCACTTTTCTTTGATATTCACGTGACTAGAAAATTATGCTTGAGATAAACACTGTCCCTTAGGAGTTTCTGGAAGCGCTAGGATTGCTGCTATGCACATATTTTTGGCTTTGTGGTAATGAAAATGCTCAAAGGATCCATCATACAGCTTTTAAAAGTAGGGCAAATTGGTTTCAGCAGGAACAGGCTTATTCTCAGAGTTTCACAGAGGCTATTAATAAATTGTTCTTATGGCAAAATACTCACCATCATGATTTTATTTATAAGGGAGATTGCCATGAGGGGTCTGGTCTGAAGCTGATGAGACCGCTCTTAAGACTTGATGATGATGGAACCTGCATAGCATCACAGACCTTCCCAGCTATTGGGTGGTGAAGGTTTCCCAACACCATTCCAGTGCTCACACAGGAGAATGACTGCAGTTCTAATGAGTCCTACTGCCAGGAGTTCTCCTGTGCCCAGGGGACAGTTGGGGCTTGGCTCTGTGCGTATGTACAGCACAAAGCCTCACGTCTCCTGGGCTCAGCCACATCATGCTCCTTGCAACAGCAAGGTCCTCATTTGCAGGTGAGCTTGGATGTGTCCCATGTTGGTGTTGTGACAGCAAGCAGAGCATAGTCATCAATATATGGTGGCAGCTGAAGTGAAAGATTACAGTGCAAGGCATGATGTCTTGCCTAGGCTCTCTTGCTAACAAGCCAGCAAGAAAAATAAAGCTCTTGTGATTTATTCTTGCAGGATAATCTCTGTAGTAATGTGAAATATGATAGTTCAAATGGGTAAGAGCAATGACAGCTGTTATTGTTTTTGACAGGCAATGGGTTTGGAGCTTGGTGACAAATTGCACGCTGTCTGGGCTTTGTTCAACCCACTTATCTTCAGGATGTCATTTTTTTTTATTTTTTATTTTTGAAGGGGGTGTTGTCTTTTTTTTTTTTTTTTTTTTTGTTAAAGAAAAACATCTTTTAAGTCCTTTGTTTTGAGGTTGGAGACATAAAGTTTCTGTTTGGTAAAGAATTTTGCTTTTTTGTGATCTTGGAAAAAGGTTCTACACAGATTCCTTAAAAAAAACAAAAAGGGTTTGAAGGTTTATCCTGCTTTGATAAGGTAAAATAACATTGTCTCTTTTATCTTTAATTGTATTTTAATTGGACCTGCAACAAAGATACTTATTTGTATAAGGAATTTGAGTTTTGACACATTTCAAGCTAAAGCATCGTTATCACTAAAGCACATAAATATGTCTGAATTTCAGACTTGCAATTACATTTAGTGAATGTTAAACCCTATTTTATGTCAGATAACACCAGGCCAGACCCTGAAATACTGAAGACACAGAACAACACCCCAGTCCCATGATGTATCTGTGCAAAACCAGTGGAAAAATGATGGAAGAGAAGGAGGCTGAATTGCTCCTTTTTCCTACTATGGTCACACTGCTACACGGCAATCCAGCACAACTGGACATTATTGGACTTAGTTTTGCTCCCTTTTAAACCAGTGATATTGCTTCTCAGCTACTGATTTCCATTGGAGCTAAAGCCAAGTTTCAAGTCCTTACAATTTCCTCTGCTTCTAATTTCACTGGCGTCGAGTTCTGACCAGTTAATCAAATGTCTTTTGTGTTGCAGGTGCCTTAATGTTTATTTTGATTAGTGTACTAGCTGCTATTTTTAGCTCTTTGGTCCTAGGGATGAATGAATACCAGCACAGACTTTAAACCATGATAAACATGTGTTTTTAACCTTGCCATTTATTTTTATGTCTCTGTATCCAAATAATCAGGATGTGGTTACCTGTGAAGGTAGTAGACTACTACTTAGAATTTCAATGCACACCCACGTACAAAAATATACATTGTAGAGGGCCAGAGCTTTAAAAACACCAAGCCAAACCCTTGTCTGGCTTTAATGGCTTTTCATATCAAACTGAAGGATGGTGTTACCACCTGGTTTGCTGCTTTGGCTTTGTCCTTTGATTCCAGTAAGCTTAGTCTGCTCACTGGAGAGATTTGCTCCATACAGATTAATCAGCTGCTTTCTTCCTGGCTAGAACAGCCCCTCATGAACAGTACAAAGAAGATACGTGTAATGGGCTAACCAGATAACAGAAGCACACACAAAACTTACTAGAAAGAAAAACAAGCAAGAAACAGAGCTTTGAGAAAAAGCATAAATGTTATATGTTGTTAAAACTGGATTCCAAGCACTTTTGTAGCTTCTCTCTTTTGTAGTGTGGGAAAAAAGTAGAAAGCCAAATACTTTTTACCATGTGTTCTCTAAATGAGCTTATGAGAGATTTGCTAAGCAAATGATAAAACAAACGCTGTATATCATAGAAATGCATTCATACATCCTTTCTTTTCTTGCTTTTGCCAAGAGAAAGGTCAGCAAAGAGCAGTAGAAGCAGACTTGAATTCTTCTCTGGGGCTGAACCTGGTAACAAATCAGCAAATTAGCAGGTATCTTGGCTCTAGAGGCCTTAGCCTAGCTCTTACTAACATCAGCTGAAAGATTCCCACCTGGTCACGTTGGAGGCATGTCAAGTTTTAAATGCTAGATCCAGTCAAGGACTGAAACAACATTAGCCTAAATCCACAGCTGAAGAAATGCCTGCATCTTCCTGATTCTGCCAAAATTTGAACCTTTTCACCTTACTTTGATGCTCTGCAGGCATCAAAATGCTGCTGGGGAGATCTGTGATTTCTGTAACAGCTTTAGGAAGCTGTCCTGAGTTTGGAGTGGCTCATGGCCACCTCTGCTTTCCAACTCACCTGGTTTTAACACAAGTTTGCATTCATTACTCCCTCCACTGCAAGGATGGCACAATTGTGCAGAAAGAAATTAAAAGCTTTTCAGGGTCCTAACAGAGCAGAAATCTGATTTTGTACCCATCAACGAAGGACACTCAGTGCTATCTGGTTACTGTTTTTCACACCGTGGCCTTGTAAGGTGTGATATATTAACAACTATGGCACAGATTTTTCCTTTCACTTCTTAAGGGTCTTTGAGGAAGGTGTTCTCTTCTTGTCTTTTCACCGTCAATCTGTATAAATTTTCACGACTGTTTGCTACCTGCTGTCTCTCTCTGGGGATGTGGCTATGGAGCCATTGTATAGGAAGTGCTGAATCACGGCTCTGATTGATCACCTGAGGTGAGCAGTGAGTCAGCCACAGGAGCACAGGTGAAGGCAATTCACCTGTGCTGCTGGAAGGAGTGGAGCCTGGTTGTGCCTCTCCTAGACCCATTTAAGAGCCGACTACCAGTGGAGAAGGATCTCTTCTGGAGATCCCTCCTTTGGAGTTTTACAGCAAGCCTAGGACACGGGTAAGCATTCTGTCTATTCTCTTTTGGTATAACAACCTGCTTAGCCAAACTGTCTGGTATATTTCATAATTATATCATCTGTGCATTCATTGATTATACAGCCATTAACTGTTCTCTGTTGCAGATGCTGCAGTTCCAGCTTGTTGTGGTCCATCTGGCTCTTGTCATCACCCTGCTGCAGTGGCATTCTAACTCAGTGCTCCTTGCAGAGGCAGCTCCAGAGGTAGGTCATTTCTGGTCGTTGTCACATAACACTACTCTTTATAGGTTGCTCCTGGCTGCTATGTGTGCAAGATACTGTGATATCCAAACAGTACTGAAAGGGAAATAGTGTGTATTGATTCTGCAAGGGACAAAGGGAGCAAGACAGCTTCCCCAGTGAAAAGAGCAGTGTAAATTGCATGGCTCTCAGAGGACAGACCAAACGAAGCCTCATCCTGATTCATGCAGACTCTCCTGAAACACAGTAGGATTTCCATGTGTAAAAACACTTTCTGATGACTTCAGAGAGAGAGCTCCTAGCAGGGGGAAATGGGATGCTGGGAGGGGGGTAATAAGCTAAGACTGAAAGGAAAGTTTCCCTCTTTCTTAAAAAACAAATAATAATGTGAATTGGAACTACAAGGAGAGCTCTGATAGAACACTGCCTGCATAAAACTTAACAGTTAAAGGAAGTACAAGAGCCAGGAGAGAGAAGGGTCAGAGAAACTTGCCTAATTTGGCAAAGGAAAACAGTGGGCACAATGGGAGAGCTCCTGTCTCTAGCTTCATCTGGTAGGATATGCAGGGATTGCATCTGAAAATGCTTCTAGTCCACTCTCTTTTAAGTCACCTTGTCCTAAAACAGATGTGGCAGCAAAGATGTTTGTGTAATGGTTGCATGTCATAAAAATCAAAGGTCTAAAAGTTTAAATGGAGTAGCACTGTTTGACTGTGTGGTGTTTTATAGTTCAGTTTAGGAGTTAGATGCATACTGACAAATACTTCTCTTCTGCCTTGCACACTGTCTTCAAGTGAGCATGCTTTGATTATACAAAATAATACTGGTTATAGAAAATAGGGCTTGGAGGGATCCATTCCTTGTACCAGCTGCTATTCTGATGCCACAAAGACCTGATATCTTGTCTCTGTCAATGACAAATGTTTGTGAAGTGAGTGTAAGAGCACAGCATCTTTGGAGACTTCCTGATCCAGATTCTGTGTTGGATCAGGGTGTTCTTTTAGCTGCTGATGGAGCCAGAATGTCTTTAAAGCAGTTTAAAATCTTGCTATCTGTGACATCCTTAGACAATGCATTCTACTTCATTTTGTGTTTTAAAAAAGTAACTCCTCATTTATTTTAAATCTAGTGAATTCAGCTAAAGAAAGGGGGAACTGTTGGCTGTTTTTTGTTTTAAGAAATTGCTAATTTTGCTAGTCCTTACTTGACTCTTTGCTGTTCTTAAGTTTTTCAACCCTCTGTTTTACCCTCACCCCAACACTCATTTCTTTGCTCATCTATGAAGTTGTGCTTTGTCCAGTGACTCACCATAAGAAAACCTTTGTCTACTTCTGATTACCATTTAACAGTCTCTTTACTTTTTGCAATTTCATAATACCCTTTCAAAGATTAAATGAGTAGAAGCACACTTAGTACTCAAGAGCAGAGGATATATTTTGCCATCCACTTTCAAGCATTATTGCATTATTGTAGATATTTATTGCCCCTAATTGTAAGGGTGAGGTTTTTTTTGTTGTTGGTTTTTTTTGAAGGTACAGTTCTGTTTCAGACCTTTATGAAAGTTTTATAACCCTGAAAAAGAACAGAAATAACCGTTTAGTAGCACTTGCAACTGAAAGAAGGGAAAATCAGAGGGCGATTTGAGAACCTTCATGAAATTACTGTTGCATCGTTGCTCCTCCTCATATAAAGGTCAGAGTTTTATACGATCCATCCCTGGTTATACTCATCAGCAGTAGGAAGTGCCACCACCACAACCGTGGCGTGGACCATTACTACTGTCCACAAGCATATTACATCATATTACTCCTTTGATTAGAATGCGCCTGAAATCATTTTTCTTCAGCAACAAACTAACATTGCTGTTTTTTTCTGCAGTCATTGGACCCTTCTGCTGCTCTGGACATGGCAGTGCATCCTACTGCCAGTGAGGAGAAGTCAGCCTCCAGCCTGGCAGCCAAACTGCTCCTTCTTGATGAACTGGTGTCTCTGGAGAACGATGTGACTGAGACAAAGAAGAAAAGGAGTTTTCCAGGATTTGGTTCCCCAATCGACAGAATTTCTGCGACATCTGTGGACGCTAAAGGCAAACAGAGGTAAAGAACTGGGCCCTACCAGTGATAAAGGTGGGAGAAAGCTGTTGATATGTCGTCCTGGCTGCAAATGATGTAGCTTTAGCCACTAACAATTTTATTGCAGTTGTGAGATACGTCTGATCAGGGTATCAGAAACTCTTCAGAGATCATTCTGGCTGCATGACATATAGTTCTTCAGCTGTGATGGATAGTATACGCAGTAGTTCATTTATCCTTGAAGTGTCATCTGGATAACAAAGAACATTCAAGGACATGAGTATTTGCTCACAGCAACAGAAAGAAATGTACCAAAAAAAAAAAAGCAGTTTAAAGCTAGTTTCTTGGTCCTGAAATTATTTAAAGCCAATGTATGCCTGAAGTTCAAAAGCAAAAGAGACAGAGGTGAAGAGAAGGTTTGGTGGTGCACATCTGGAATTTTGGGATGAAGAACATATTGTAAAAATGGACAGTCAGGGTACAGAATGGTCTTCCAAGGAGAAAAGCTTCAAGATCTTGGTCAACTTATAACAAGTCAGGCTTTAATCAATACAGCAGTACACCATTACCTCCACAGTACAAGTTAGGAGATAAGTATGTTTTTAACTGAGGGCTGAAGAACAACTTGGTACAGGTGGTGAAAGTCTGAGGCAAAGCAGGCGGTGATGTTCACCATGCCTGAAGGAGCTGAGTTGTCTTATTCCCTCCTTCTGCTGCTGGATGGAATCCCCCCATCTGTAATGTATTTAATAACATGCTTAAAGCTTAATCTGGAAATGGGAAGTACTCCCAAAAGCCAGTCAACGTATCAGTTATTTTTTTGTTGTGCTTTTTTCTTCTCTTGTGCTTCTTGTCATTTTTCTATTTATTCATCCAGCCTGCTAGTAGAATTTTTTGAATATAACTAAAAATGGTAAAGTATAAAGTTTTGAAGTCAAGTAGAACTATTTATCTGTGTATCACTTTGAGACAACAATATCAGTTTTGATTACTTTTTGGCACATGGCTGGCATGTGGAAAGATACCCTGGAATTCTTAACTTTTTATGTATATATTATTGTTAAGAGAGGGCACTTGAAATGGAATACATCACTTTACCTTTAGTAAGTGCTGAAATTGGTACAGTGTCATTTGGAAGGCAGAAAGGGAGCAGCAGACAAGACAGTGTAAGTGGATTGTCCTGCTATGGCTACAGATGGCCACCAGAGGGGAAGCTCAGCCACAGAACCTCTCAGGCTGCTCAGCCTTTCTTGTTGATGTGATTTTACAATTTTACTGTTTAACTGCAGACCACGGCAATACTGCAACCAATGCATATGCAGAATGCATCTCTTGTAAACCAGCCTGTGTTGTTACAGGGGGGCTGTAAGAAGGAAGAGGACAGACTCTTTAACAGGATCTGTTGAGATAGAACAAGGGGGAATGGTTTCCTGTGAAGAGGGGAGATTTAGATTGGGTGTAAGGAAAAAGGGATTGGTTTGTTTTACGTTGAGGGTGGTGAGACACTGGCACAGGTTGCCCGGAGAGGTGATGGTACCCCATCCCTGCAGACACTCAAGGTCAGGTTGGGTGGGGTTCTGAGCTGGGGATGGAGCTGTGGGTGTCCCTGTTCAGTGGAGGGAGTTGAACCAGATGTCTTTTAAGGGGTCCCTTCCAACTCAAGTGGTTCAATGCCTCTTTTTATCAGATCAGGCTCAGTACGACTTCAGCAGCCTCGGTCCCACTTGCATCACCTTATGCCTAATCTGTGTTGGAAAGAGTACTGCCTGTGGGGTGATGAACTGTGTAAAAGTGTTTGATAGATAGGATTTGGGGAAAGGGTTCTGCGGGATTAAAATGGGGTAGTGCTTCAGTGCTAGTCTGTAAAGCAGGTGCCACTTATATCCATTAATTTTTAAGAGAAGTATTTTATTTTTAAGCTCTCACATCTTCAGCTGCTGCTGCACAGCTGTTCTGTCTGAATGGTAAAATTGTGAGTGGGATGAATGGAGGAATCAAAGATGTAGTAACGCTTTTGGTTATTCCTATGATGTCTTTCCATAATTCTTTCCCTCCTTCTTTCCCATTTTCCCCTTGCAGGAAAGTAGTTGAGCTGCCTAAGAGACGGTTTGGAGTTCCTCTTGATCGGATCGGAATGAGTCGTCTTGGCAACACCAAGGGTTAGCAGTTCCTGCAAGTAAGCCAAAGTGTCCGGGTGTGCGCAGGTTGGAGAGCCCCCCCTGCTCTTAATCACATGGAAATGCTCAGGTCATGCCAGTGGGTTTGGAAAGGGAGCCTTGAGGAAGGAGGGCTTCTTCTATAACATGGATAGTGACACAGTTTCGTTTGAATCCTCTAAATCAGTACTGCTCCCTTTCAGGAAGTATTTATTAGCTTTTTCTTCTCCTTATGTTGTCTTTGTCTAATCCTTGCAGTTCTGATTTGAGAAGGCATAATGTTTGCTGCTTTTCTGCCTATAGGTTCTTCTGTTCTGAATGATTGATGCCATACAGGAAACATCACAGAAATGTGGAAGATGCATCAGAGCACATCTTGTCATTGACTAATGATTCAACACTCAAGGAATTGACCTCCTGCAAAACCTTCTTCACGTTGTGTTTTACAAACATTGCATTTACAAATAGTAACTAATTCAGTTCATCAGATCAGAATGCTCTCACAGCTGAGCACAGTGCCACTGATAGGAGGAGACAGAAAAAAATGCATGGTTTAATAGTATGGCATTTATGTCTTAAACCTGCAGAAATCCCTTCTCCTAGCAAAGACTGTTCGAATTTTTGGATTTAAAATAAAACTCTCTGAAAAGCCAACAGCAGTCCATGAAATGCAGGCAGTTTGCTTTGTGCATGTATTTCAAGAAGGTGTTTTTCTGTTAGATGAAGGGAGGATTTAATAGCTATGGGACAAATCCATATTGTATTTGAACTGCTGCTTGGGAGAAGACATTTACTGATATCATTAGGAGTTGATCTGAATAAGAAGAAAGAAAAAAATCTTAGGATTTGCTCTGATGCTTTTAACAGTCTTCCTTGCACCAAATTTAGAAATGTTTTCATTGTACAGCATATCCTGACATGTGGCGAGACTGTCAGCTTCCTCCTGTAAGCTAACAAATGCATTTCAGTCCTCCCTATGCATAACATAGGATAGTGTCCAAATATGAAGTCATCTACTTCCTAGGCCATCTGCATTGTATGCCTTATTTTAGTCTCTTGATGTGTGCATAGGGCATAATTGCATATGCAACTGTAAAAGTTCAAGCATTTCTTAGTCTGATAACGTGTAAACATGTGCCTGTTGTCTCTATTTCAATTCAGAGTAAAACAGGTTATCTTGAATTCTGCTTCATTGCTTTTCGCTTCTTTCCAGATCATGAAATACAGCTGAAAAGAGCTGTTGGCTGACATCTCAGTGCTCAGATTCCAAACTGATCTCTTCTAAACCTCCTTGTTAGACTGTAGTCTACATCAGCTAAATGCCTTGGATTGCTATTCCTGGGTATAAATAATCCTTAGAATTGCAAAAGATGATCCACAGAAAAAGGATTATTTAGGAATACAGTTTGCTTCTCTATCTTACCACATACTTACCCTGTGTTAGGCAGAGAGTTGCAATAAGGCAAGAGAGAGAAATAAGTGTTAATTTCCTGATCTAATGTGAGGCACCTGTCTGTCAGCTAACTGAATGAGTTCTTGAGATTAAAGCTGTTCTATGGTTTGGAACTTGGGCAATTGCCCCTGTTCAGGCTATAGTGGGCAATGAGGTTCCCATTCAGAAGGGCAGGCAGAATCCAGTGCATATCCCTGAGTCCCACTGTTCACTTTACCTTTAAGTTTGCAGATAAAGGATTTGGGACTGAGTGCTGATCTGAGATGAGGATTTTCTGTCTATGCTAGAAGCAAATCCACAAATGGACTCCAGCACAAGCTCAGTTCCCTGTCCTCTGGAGTCTACTGAAGCCACCTATCCTGAGCCTGCCCTGTAGTTCAGTAAACAGTTATCTTATTGCACTGAGCTCACCCAGACAGTCTGCAGATAATCTGATTGCCAAGCAGCCATATGTATGGGCTATGGGCAGATTATGTAAGTCATGTACTCCTGACCTCTCATATAGTTGTCTTTCAAAAGCAGCATGGACAGACTTATTGTAGGGCATATTTTGGAAGGCTTGCATCAGAGGGATCTAATGGTGACACATCTGATCTGCAAAGATACTGTTGGATAATTAAAGTATTTCACCAGTCACCTGGTATTAGTGTGGGCTTTAAATAAAGAGGGTTTTTAAAGCTTGTACTTGGATGCAGAAATGCTCTCCATCTGAAGGAAAACATGAAAGCAAGTCAGGACAGAGATCTCTGTGGTGGTGCTGCCTGAAACTGGGACCTGGAAGCTTCAAATCACTGCATGGGGAGAAAGCAATGGCCTTTCCATTCATCTGCCCATCCAAACACACTGCAGTCTCCTTTAACATCCATAAATTGACAGGTGCTGTTTAGAGTATGGTGATGTCTGAAGGGTTGGGTACCATGATTTGTTTTCAAATAATACTAGATAGATTCAGTTATCATGTGTAGTATGGAGGTCAACAAGAGGATATACAAGCAGGATATTGCCTGCTTGCAAATCTATTGTGATGCCTGTGAGGATTTTCTGTTAACAATTCAACATGCTCAAGTAGAATGCCTGAGGAAAATCCTTTAATTATTGCCAAACTTCAGTAAGTTTGACTGCCCAAGCATGGATGATGTGCAAACAGCCATAATGTAGAGGTGGCACCTGAGGAGAAGTTCTGTTCTGCATTTAGGAGGAAAGACAGGAGCCCTTGTTAATGGTGAGTCTAGTGAAGATGTCCCTACAGACTCTCTGAACTTGCAAATGAATTGCTTTCAGCATTGATGTTCAGCACTCCAGCAGAAGCAGCCAACATAGCAGCATGTAGGGAACATTTGAGTAGTCTGGGTACTGTGAGCTTAAAGGGAAGACATGCCCTTCTCTTAGCAACAGGCCTTACTGCATTTGTTGCTGTTGTGAGCGTATGTGAAGGTGTGTTTCCACTTAGCTTTTTCAGGTTCGCAAATGCAACACAAAAGGGGAAATTTCTTCTGAATCACTGCTTTTTTTTTTTTAGTGTAACGTGGTAATTGGTACTTTGGGAAAAGTAAAGTTCTGGATAATACATAGCATGCAAGCTGCAGTTAAATGACATGTCTACATAGGACTGGAGAGTCAGTTCAATTCTAGTGAAAATCAGTCCATGCTTTCACAGTGCCTACTGAATTCTGCTGTCATCTATACTGCTGGAAATCTCAAAGCAAACATCAATGGCTTCAAGATTTATTCTGAACTTAGACCTGTGGGGACATGATCCTTCTGCTTTGCAAGTGAACTTAGATAATGTGATTGTGATTGGTGGATTGTGATCGCTTCCTATAGGACAGGTGCAGAGAACTGACAGTTTGACAGTTGGATCAGATCAGTTGTTCTTAATGGTCTGTTTCAAACCTTATGATTCAGTCAATTCTGCAGTAGGAAAAACCGTCTAGATCTTTTTGGGGTAAAGTAGGTAGAAGTGAGTAGGGATGGTCCAGTCCCATGAGTACAGCAGTCCTCACACATGCCCATGTTGTGGCTAAAGAAAGGACATGCTCCTGAGGCATATTAAAACAAACCTGCCTTGCTCTAACAAGGTGTTTAATGGGAGCTTTATGATCCATTATGTAACCAGAGCCCACATCCATGGAAGTGTACTCCCCCTTTAGGCCACTGGAGGGAATGAGAAAGAAAACAGCGTGTGCTTCTGTGCAACAGAAGATCTTTATTGGAGTGACATCCAAAAGATCCAGACTTCTGTGCCCGTCCTCCCCCAAACCTACTGCATATGTTGGTGGGACATGACAAGGAACAACAGCTTTGGCTCAGCAAGCCAAGGCAGGCAGCCCTGAGCCCTCCCATTGCACCCAAACTGCCTTCCTTTCCTATCAGAGGGTGCTGGGGCTTCTGAGACCTGCTCATGGGACACAACAGAAAACCCAGGCCCCACTGTGAGCAACGTCTGCAAGTGGGCAGAGGGCCGAGCTCAGGGGGCTGGGTTGGTGTTTGGTGCCTTTGGAGACCTGGTGAGAAGGGCAAGAACGTATGGTGGCAGCAGTCTGAATGGTACAGCAAGTGAAGTTGGAGAACATCTTCCAAGCAGAAGACCTTGGAAGGTGAGGCCTGGAAAGAAGGAGCAGCAGTGGTGGCAGGGAGCTTCCTGCACCTATTGTGGTGCCTCTTAGACTTGGCTGTAGTGCAGTCACAGAGGGTGGCATCTAAGTTAGCAACGAGATGAGAGAACAGAACAAACTCTTAACACATTAACACCCAGCACGCAGTTTGGGGAAGGACCCATCTTCTTCTTCAAGTCCTAGCAAGCCTTCAGATGCAGTATTTCCAAAAGCAGGCTGGAGAGGAATACAAGAGAAGAGTTTTAGCATCCAAGAGACTTTTTTTTCCAACTTCCCATAGCTTCCTGGGGTTGGTTTCACAAGCCCAGTATCCTGAGAGATTTGGAGTGTTAAGAGTTCGTGTAACACTTCTAGAAGGTGATCCTTTCGGTTTCTTAAAGTAAAAAGAAGGGGTCATGATTTATAATGGTTTGCTGTTCCTTTTGCTCTCTTTCACTAATGTCAGGAATCAGCTTTTTCTTTCTTGTGTACTGGTACTACACATCAGTTCTGCAGCCTCTGAGTTGTGAGCAGGGCTTCTCACCCATGGCTGATGGGAAAAGCAGGATACTGACCTGGAAACACCTGATCTGGACCCTACAATTACTTTTAAAAGCTCAATCACTATAGCATTCTGCTTCCAGCTGTCTTCCAAACAACACTTACCACTGTGGGATCTTACAAGAAGAAAAATTAGGGAATTATGTGGATTTTGGTGTTGGAAAAAAGTAAGTGTATCGCCAGCCTGCCTGGTTCTTTGAACTCTGTACAGGTGTCAAGTGTGAGAAAGAATTTCAACTTGTTTTTTTGTAGGAGAAAACTTCTACTAAATCAGCAGTGCTCAGGCTGAGACACAGGCTCCTCCCAAAATGGATAGACAAGACAAAGGCACTCTGCTCTGTTTTCTGGCAGAATCTGATTTAAACCTGGCTGGGAGAAGCAGTTTTATGTACAGTTGATTCTCCCAGACTGGTGGGAGCATGAATGAGATAAGCCAAATTAATGACAGTCTCCAAGGTTGCTTACAAATTACAGATTGTCTAAGCATCACCTAAGCACATAAGCCAGCCTTGCACGGAGGGGGATGTTCCCTTGCCTGTCTGGCAGATTGTCAGCCTGCATGAGCACAGAGCATGTGGGGTAAGGGCAGAAGGAGCTCTTTTGGGGTGAGGCCAGATTTGCAACTAGTGATTACTGTTCTACACTGTCCCTGCTTTGTGAAGGAGTCCTCTGCTGCCAACATGAGCAGCATGTCCTTGCGCTCTTGGGCAGCCCTGCAGGAGTGCAAAGCTCCCAGGATGTGCTGCAGAGAACAGAGGGGCTGACTGGGGACACAGTAGCTCTTAGCTCCCTGCATTCATGCTTGATTTCCACATCCTTTTCTTTGCTTCTTTTCAGCAGCTCAAACAATTGCTGCTTTTTTCTCTGCAGGGAAGCAGTGACCTTGGTGGATGTGGATGCATGCAGGCCACATGCCTCATTATGCCTCCAGCACAAGCTTTGTGCCCTGCAGGAGAGTGAGGGGTGCCCTGTGGGGATATGTTCCTACTAAACTGCCCTCTGAATAGCTCCATAGTTATTCTCAGGCTGCTGCTCTAACTGCCTCTGGTGAGG